TTTTCGGATTTGGGCGTTCGGCACTGCTGATGCCTTGCCACTTCCTCTCCTCCTCTTTCTCCTCTTCCTCCTCCTCCTCCTCCTCCTCCTCCTCCTCCTCCTCCTCCTCCTCTCCTCTTTCCTCCCCTCTGCCACCGGCCCTCTGGATGTATCCTCTTCCTCCTCCTTCCCCCTCAGATTGGGTTCGATGCTCGTGGCTGCCCAGGCAGCGCTCCATGATGTACGTCCCCGTTCCCCCGAACATGCAGGCCCCGCTGGGTGAGGGTGGGAGGGGATGGGAGTGGCTGTCAGGGTGTAAAGGGGGGGGGGGGCTGGAGAACGAACCGAGGGGGGAGGAGGCAGGGGCTGGAAGGAGTGATGCAGAGGAGGAGTGGGAGGGGGACGAGGAGGAGGATGAGGAGGAGGAGGAGGAGGAGGAGGAGGAGAATTCGGGAGAATTCGGCGACAACAAGGTCGAGGATCGCGCGCTGATCGAGCAATGGCGCCACTAAGGCCCCGAGGCCTCACGCGACCCAGTGTGGCAGAGGTGTGCCCTGCTCTTAACGTGAAATATCCCACTGACAGTTTTTTTGGTTGGGGCTTACACTCTTCGACAAGCCCTCTACCCCCGTCCGTAGCCTTAGTACCACTGGCACATCTCGTGCACCACCAGAGTCTCTAAGTACTGCATCGTGTGGGAGGGGTGAGCAGTTCTAGTACCTACGCGGATGGCGCTGCCTCGCGTCTTTTTGGAGGAGGCGTGTTTACATTGTTTAAGCCAGCGTTGGATTGCAACTACTCTAGCAGCGTGCCTACTGATCTGCTTGTTACCCATCGGTTGCTGAAAGTAGGTATTTGGGGATTCCCAGATCCCAATCTTTTTTAGGTGCCTTCCTACTTCACTGATCGAGTGGCTTCACCTTTTCCGTCCTCTTCAGGGGGCGGGCAGACACCCAATCTATTTTTAACGTTTTCTTACTTCATGTTCCTACCTACTTCTTCCGACCGGTGAATACTCCAGCGTGCCAATTGGTCTGTTCGTTACATCTTCTACATTGCCATCTACATCGGAGAGCGGGGGAGTAGGTGAGTGCCAGAAGCGAGGGCGGCGCTCACAGCTCACTTTTAGCGTGCTTGCGCTGCGTCGGTACGTTCCCTCTTTTTATTCTGAAGCCATGGCCTGTCCGTCTCTCCCTCGCAGGCGTCTAACGTCGGCCTGTGGATTTGTCGCCAGACCAATGATACACATCGGTCGTTGAAAGTAGGTATTTGTTGTTTCCCAGATTCCAATCTCCGTTGAGCGCCTTCCTAGTTTTAACCCAATCCACTTCCGACGCCTTCCTACTTCATGGTTCTACCTGCGTCTCGCTACCGAGGGGTAACGTCGTCCCGACGATTCGTCCCCAGACCAGTGATCATACCGCATGCGCCCAGTTGTAGCACTGCATCTGTTGATCGGGGATGTCGTGTGCCCCTGCCGCGTCGATAGCCAGCCTGTAAGCCAACATGTTTCCCAACCAGGCCTCGACAAAAACATGTGGTGCTGTATCGCCTCCTCCGTTAGGTGACTCGTGATGTGGATGAGTTTGATGTCCTCGGCTGGGTCGATCGCGCAAGAAGATCTCTCACACAGGGCGACGTAGACCATATCCCAGATGTCCGTGTTCCGGTTTCTTGTGCCCAGGTCGCACGTGATGTTCTTTCTGCCAGCTTTGGATCGTAACGTCTGAACCAGTGTATAGTATTATGTGTCTGGCGCCGTCCAGGTAGAGGTTCGAAAGGCAAACCCATCCTCGGTATATATATATATATATATGCTGTCGCTGGGGATGCTGCCTCCACTTCCATTTGTCGAAATAACCGCAGGGCCGTTTGTCGCGCGAATCTTGTCGACGTTCTCGAGCTCGCCGCTGATGATCGGGCACAGACCACGGTCCAGAACCACGATACATTCTGGGCGCTTTCAGCAGCATGGTTCGCGAGCGCATCCAAGACAGGATAGTATTTTCGGCGGACGAGGGGCAAGAGTGCCATTGGATCACCTCGTAATTGAACAGGGCGGGGTGCTCCCAGAGCCCCCCCCTTTCCCCCCCTTCAAGGGAGGATGAACTTTTCTGACCCCCCCCCCTTGGCGCTGGAGAAGGGGGGGGGGGGGGGCGATTTCGGACCCCCCCCTCACCTCCCCCCCCTCTGGCCAGGCAAGGGGGGGGGTTAGGGTTCGGGGTTTGGATTAAAACTTAGGGTAAGGGTTAGGGATTAGGGTCAGGGTTATGGGTAGGGTTTACGGGTTAGGGTTAGCTCTTAGGGTTTAGGGTCAGGGATTCGGGTTAGGGTTAGGGGCTAGGGTTAGGCGTAAGGGGTAGGGTTCGGGCCAAGATGCCCTCCCCGCCCGCAAGCCGTCTCGCTCACTCCCACCCGCCCTCCCACCACATACGTAGCACCCGAGCCTGGCCCGAGCCGCAGCAAATCCAGCAGTCGTCTTTGGATGGGCAGCTACTGGGGGCGAATCCGCCGCCGCCGCCGCCTCCGCCACCGCCGTCGCCGCCACCGCCGCAGCCGCCGCAGCCGCTGCCCCCGCCGCAGCCGCCGCAGCCGCCGCCGCCGCCAAGGGTACTCTGTATTGTTTTGTGATAGGGATGGTGGGGGGAGGCCGCACCGGGTTCGCTGCGCATGCTCCGAATTTGGAGGCAGAGTGTGTTTTGTATGTTTTTTTCCCCAACTCTCCTTGGTTGGGTATTCGTTTTGAATACAGCACTGTGGTCGCGTCCCTCCTCCTCCTCCTCCTCCTCCTCCTCCTCCTCCTCCTCCGCCTCCTCCTCCTCCTCCTCCTCCTCCTCCTCCTCCCGCCTCCCGCCTCCCGCCTCCTCCTGCCTTCTCTTCGCCGACGATGGGGGCTGCGATCTGCGAAACCGTCGCCACTTTCGAGGGCTGCTGGTGGGTCCTGCGGAGTGGGGCACCGCGCAGATCAGAGCGGGACCTCGCCGTCCCTGGGGGGGCTGCGATCTGCGAAACTGTCGCAGAGTGAGGCACCGCGCAGATTAGAGCGGGACCTCGCCGTCCCTGGGGGTCTGCGATCTGCGAAACCGTCGCCACTTTCGAGGGCTGCTGGTGGGTCCTGCGGAGTGGGGCACCGCGCAGATCAGAGCGGGACCTCGCCGTCCCTGGGGGGGCTGCGATCTGCGGCATTCTCGCCATTTTCGAGGGCTGCTGGTGGGTCCAGCTGAGTGAGGCACCGCGCAAATCAGAGCGGGACCTCGCCGTCCTTGGGGGGGCTGCGATCTGCGGAACAGTCGCCATTTTCGAGGGCTGCTGGTGGGTCCTGCGGAGTGGGGCACCGCGCAGATCAGAGCGGCACCTCGCCGTCCTTGGGGGGCTGCGATCTGCGAAGCCGTCGCCACTTTCGAGGGCTGCTGGTGGGTCCTGCGGAGTGGGGCACCGCGCAGATCAGAGCGGGACCTCGCCGTCCTTGGGGGGGCTGCGATTTGCGGAACAGTCGCCATTTTCGAGGGCTGCTGGTGGGTCCAGCGGAGTGGGGCACCGCGCAGGCACCTCGCCGTCCTTGGGGGGTTGCGATCTGCGAAGCCGTCGCCACTTTCGAGGGCTGCTGGTGGGTCCTGCGGAGTGAGGCACCGCGCAGATCTGAGCGGGACCTTGCCGTCCCTGAGGGGCTGCGATCTGCGAAGCTGTCGCCACTTTCGAGGGCTGCTGGTGGGTCCTGCGGAGTGAGGCACCGCGCAGATCTGAGCGGGACCTCGCCGTCCCTGGGGGGCTGCGATCTGCGAAGCTGTCGCCATTTTCGAGGGCTGCTGGTGGGTCCTGCGGAGTGAGGCACCGCGCAGATCTGAGCGGGACCTCGCCGTCCTTGGGGGGCTGCGATCTGCGAAACCGTCGCAACTTTCGAAGGCAGGTGGCGGGTTCAGCGGAGCGAGGCACCAGGCAGATCTGAGCGAGACATCGAGATCCTTGGGGGGCTGCGAGCCTCACGAATGCCGCTCGCAGAAGTATATGCGCCCATGTCACGTCATCACCTCCGTATAGCGTCTACCAAGCTACTCATGCCCCGCATTGCGCAGGGGTTGGGTACGTCGCCAGGGTAATACAAGGGATGGCTCGGGTTGGCTCCCGGTCGCCTGCGGGAGGGGGTGTACATTAATGGGGGACAGTGATTTAGGGTAGGGGTTAGGGTTAGGGTGAGGGTATTCGGGGTTAGGGGTTCAGGCTGAGGTAGGGGTTAGGGTTAGGGTAGGGGTTAGGGGTTACGGGTTAGGGTTAGGGTTTAGGGTCGGGGTAAGGGTTAGTGTTAAGGGTTCGGGTAGGGGTTGAGGGTAGGGGTTAGGGTTAGGGTAGGAGTTAGGGTTGGGATTAGGGGTTAGGGTTAGGGTTTAGGCTGAAGGTTAGTGGTTCGGGTTAGGGGTTGGGGTGAGGGTTTAGTGTTGAGGTTAGGTTTGGGTTAGGGTACGGGTTAGGGTTCGCACTAGGGGTTAGGTCTGGGTTGGGGTTTAGGGTAGGGGTTAGGGTCAGGGGTTAGGGTCGAGGTTAGGGTAGAGGTTCGGGTTAGGGTAGGGGTTAGGATAGAGTTTAGGGCTAAGGGTCAGGGCATAGGGTTGAGGTTAAGAATTAGGGCAGGGTTGGCGGTTAGGGTTAGGGTTTAGGGGGTTGGATTGGGGTTTAGGGTAAAGGTTAGGGATTCTGGTCAGGGTTAGGGGTTAGGGTAGGGTTAGTTAGGGTTAGGTCTTAGGGTTAGGGTCAGGGTTAGGGTCAGGGGCCAGGGTTAGGGGTAAGGGGTAGGGTTCGGGTTAGGGGTAGGGGTTAGGATTAGGGTTTGGGTAGGGGTCAGGGTTAGGATCAGGGGTTAGGGTAGGGGTGGGTTTCGGGTAGGGGTTAAGGTTTAATGTTAGGGCTTGTGATAGGGGTTAGGGTGGTGATTAGGATTTGAATTCGGGGTTCGGGTAGGGGTTTGGGTCGAGGTTAAGATTAGGCGTAGGGTAGGGGTTAGGTTTAGGAGTGGGGGCTTAGGTTAGGGGTTCTAGGGGTTAGGGCAGGGATGTGCGCCTGCGGGTACGACTCCAACTGGGCCAGCCGACTCGGGTGCCGCGACTGCGGGAGGCGCTGCTAATCCAAGGTCGAGGACGCCGCGAGGAAGGCCCACAAGGATGCCAACCAGGGCGGCCCACAGCCGAGCAGCCACCAGCAGCCCCGTGGAGTGTGGGCCAGGCAGAAATGGGCCCCCTGAGAGATCGCGAAGCAGCAGCGCCAGGACAGTGAGCTCGCAGCCTTGCGCAAGCAGGTCGACGAGCTCACCGCCGCCAAGACGAAGGCCAAGCTCGACGCCCTCAGCGACCTCAAGGCCGAGCGCAAGAAGCTTGCTGGAGGGGAGCAACCGGCGAGCTGCGTCGACGCCGTCGAGGCCAAGTACACCGAGCCGCCGAAGCCGAAGAGCATCACCGCGCTGCAGGGACAGAAGAAGAAGAATAAGCTCGAGGGCCAGCACCAAGAGGCTGTCTCCAAGGTCCAGGAGCTCGAGGACCAGAGGGCCAAGCTCGACAAGCACCTCAACGATGCCAAGGTGCACGCCGCAGAGCTCATGGCCAAGCCGGAGTTCGCCGACGCCGAGAGGGATCGGGTTCCGAAGCCAGGGGAAAGGGAGGTCGGGACCCCCCTCGCTTGAATGACGCATGCCTGTGCACACATTCGGCTGACATCGGACAGCCGCAATCATGGGCGTTACGATTATGGCACTTCTGCAATGCATCGTGTCACTCAGCGCTCTGGACCTTGCAGATCCAGACATGGCGCTTGTACGACACAGATGGAGGAAGGGAAGTCGAATCACCACACGTAGCAGCTATTGTGGCATTACTTACCTGGGTCGAACAGCAATGGCTACGCGACCGTGGCGCCTGTGTTGTTTCCCGCGTCTTTGATATAATGGACGTGAAGCCATCAAATCGGAGTGGGTGTTGTTGAGACGCGTCTTGAGGATGAGGCGTTTGAATCCTGAAGGGCAGACGCATCACAACCTGCGTGCTTTCTCACACATTTGAGGTTTCAACCACTTTTCTGATCAGCCCTTGTCATCCCGCTGGGAAGCTTTGCTACTGTTCGCTGTGAGGAAGGTCTCCGAGTAACTATCCACGTCTGCTGTTCGGCGCGAACAAGGCAACACGACAACCATGATATTTGGTACATGCTCGTGGAGGCACCCAGACTTGCGCAGCATTTTCATTTTCAAGGATTCGATGCGATGCTGAAACTAGTTTCCAGCCAGCACGCCGCAAATACTTGTTCCAAACTTGATGGGCTTAAGTGCTCTGTTTAACGCAGCATGTTTCGAGTCTGCCCACGCTGCCAGCTTTCTCCGTTGAGGTCGATCGGGCCGAGACGAGCATGACATTTTGCAGAGCCCTCCTCTGCTTTCTATTTGGGACCATGATGATATTTGTCACCATGCTAGCTCGCTGCGGCTGCATGTGAAATTTCTCTTGGACAGTTTCACGGTCATTGTGCTCGATAGCGCCGCATTGGCCAGCGCGAGCAAATTGCACGGGAAGACGGCGCGGAAAATGCAACGACACCGAGTGATTTTGCGAAGGCCTCACAGCTGATGCCGCCGATCTTGAAGGCGTATTTCCCCAGGACCCCCGCTGGCGAACCCCCCACCGTGACCCGCCTGGAGCCCCGGGGGGAGCGGTGTTCTTACCCGGGAACGCGGAACATCCCCGGGGCCCCAAGGTGGCGACCGCCCCCGGGACCCGCCAGGACCGGGACGGGGGGGGGGGGCGGCGTTCTGACTCGGGATAACCCCCCACACCACAGGTGGAATTTCCCTCCCAGGACCCCCGCTGGCGAACCCCCTCCTGGACCCATACCCCTGGGGGAAGCAGCATTCTTCCGTGGGACTACCCTCCCCACCGCAGGCGGGACCTCCCCCGGCCAGGGACCTTTCCAGGACCCCGCTCCCTCGCCCCCCACCCGCGTCAAGGAAGGGAAAAAGGGAACGCGATCGACTTAATTACGACTTTCCTTGTTTTTGTTCCCCAATTCCCTTGGGACGGACGACGACGACGACAGCGTCTCACACACGCCGAAGGGTCGACGGATTGGCTCCCGTGCCTGTGCACATGAACAGCACGCGGGTGGCATGTCGGTGCTCGTCGTTTGGTCAAGCTGGGCACGGCGACGGAGAGCAGCGGTGGCAACATATTGATGGGCGTGTTTTCCACCACCACCACCATTAGTTGGAGGCGGGGTCCTCCTCCTCATCCTCCTCCTCCTCCTCTTCGTCCTACTCGTCCTCACCCTCCTCCTCCTTCCCCCCTCCAACTTATGGTGGTGGTGGTGGTGGAAAACAAGCCCATCAACATATGTCACGTTATGTCACATGAGATGATCCAGGAGTTCATCAGCAAGGCCGTCCCCCTTTGATTCTACCCGGACGCCGGCTCCGTTGCGTACCCTGAGAACGATCGTGCGCTTGCTGGACAAATACTTGCAGCATTGGCGTTCGACACGTTTCCAGCCCGGCAGCATCTGCCAGGCTGGAAATCGCTACACCGATCTTGCTGAGATTTGGCAAAAGCGCGTCACAATGGCAACCGCAGTCAAGACGCCGACCTACAATAAAAAAGCCGAGAGGGAGAGGGGGATAAATATTGAATGAGGGGAAGAGGGATTGGATAGTGATTGCGAGGGGAGGGAGGATGGGGAGGGGAGAGTTTCGATTTGTCGCCGAGTCAAATTCGGGACTGTCCAGGAGCGCACATCCCCGCTCTTCCGAATATGCAGGCTCCCATATCCGTCCCCCTGTCCCCCTTCCTCTCTTCACTTCCCCACTTCCGGCTCCTCCCCCTCACCTTTCCTTTCCCCCTCCCCTTGCCCTCCCCTTTCCTTCATCATCCCTCCACTCCCTTTGGGGTCGCGCCGTTGCGTCTTCTTAGGTCTCCGCTGTAGGGATCGCTTGTTCCTCCTATCCAGCCACGACCTCCAACCAACCTCTATCAATATTGCTGTCGTCACAGTTTTTGCCTCTGGTACTGCCACCGCCTCCACGGCATCCTCACCCCTTTCATGCTCATCCTCCTCCTCCTCCGCGTCATCTCTCCTCTGCCTCGGCCTCGTCCTCCACATCACACCGCAGTCTTCCTCCACGTCCACGTCGTTGTTACCCGTGTCGTCCTTGTCTTCCTTTTCCTCACTTCCCGTCCGCTCGCACCCGGTTATCCCTCTTTCTTCCTTGCGTTTTCCCCTTCGCCATCACTCATCCATCATTCTCTCTCACATTCTCCCCGTGTCTCCCTATGTTCTTTCTCCTCCCGTTTCCCTCCTCCTCCATTTTTCTCCCCTCCCGCGCAGGTCGTCCTCTCCTCCCGAATATTGCTTCTCCTCCTGCCTACCCCCCATCCGCTGACTCCCTGACCTCGTCTCTGTTCCCGCGGACTTCTCACCACCAGAGGGAGGTGGAAAGGTGGAGGACCTTCCTTCACTGGCAAAGCTGTCGCTCTGGACGAGGCTGCCTAGGCAGTGGTGGCCATCACAACCGCAATGCAATCATCAACTGGTCAGCATCACCTTGACCTAGGCCCATCGAAGAAAAGAAAGGAGGATGAGGAACCAGCGGGGCTCTGCCACGAGTTCGCCGCTGTCGTTGCATGTTCTGTCCCCGCCCCCCTTCGCGACGAACGTCTCGTTGCCAGAGCCGGCCTGGTGACCAGCAGTCCAGTCACGCCCCTTCCTCCCCTTCCACTCCTCCTTTCCCATCCCTCCCCGTGTACACTCGGGGCGCTGAAGAAAGGGCCCTTTTCGTTTGGGAGGGGCTCAGTGTTCCCTGGCTGTTTCACAGTCTGCCCTAGGTGCTCCTTCGGCGCTCGATGGGGAATCGAAGGTTAGCCTGTGGAAAAAGGGGGCCTCGCTCCTAATGTGTAGGGTTTCTTGGGTCAGCGCCCCGACTCTGCCCTCTCCCCTCCCCTCCCCCGCGAGCACGAACACACGGCTCTGCAGCGGTCTCCGAAGCTGAACCCGCCCATGTACCGCAGCCCGGAGCGCTGGAGCCTGCCGTTCCAGGAATTTCCCCGCCTCCTCCCTCCGCTCCTCGCCCCCCTCGGCATCTCGCCGCCTCCTCGTGCCTCCTCGCGCCTCCGCCCCGCCCCTCCTCTCTTCATGCCTCCTCCCTCTCTCCTCCCCGCCCTCGCGTCCACGCCTGCCCTCCCCGCTCTGCTCCTCGGTCGCCCCCTCCTCGTCCGCCCCTGATCCTCCGACCTCCCCTCCTCCTCGGTGCACCAGTGCTCCGTTGCCCCGTCCTCTGAGATGCATCATCGCGTGCGTCCTCCTCGTCCCGGTCGTCGCCCTCGTGCCTGTCATCGTGCAACCTCGTCGTCGATGCTCCTCCTACTCCTGCTTCCTCCTCGGTGTCCTCGTCCCTCTCGTCCTGCCCCCTCCCTCCTCTCCCCGCCCCCCGATGCTGCCGCCTCGCCCGCATCCTGCCTCGGGCGGAGGCCGGGCCGCCCTGCGGGCGGAGGGCGGACAGGGGGCCGGGGGCAGGGCGGGCGGAGGGCCGTGCTCCCGGGGGAGCGCGGGAGGGGGGCCCGGTGGGGCCTGCCTGGGGCGGGCCGCTTCGGCAGCAGATCGATGGCTTGGCATCGCTCGGACGTGTGCATTTTTCCTCGGCGAGAAACATCGAGGACCATCCTGGGCCATCGAGCAAAAAAAAAAACACGCGCGAGACCGACAGATGCACGGGAAGTGGACGTCCGAGCGACGGCAAGATGGGAGCCTTGTGCTGATGGACTGACTGTGCACCACCACTACCACAGGTAGGACAGGGGAGAAGGGAGGTAAGGGGAGGTCCTCCTCCTCCTCCTCCTCCTCCTCCTCATCCTCCTCCTCCTCCTCCTCCTCCTCCTCTCTCTGGTAGCTGTGGTGGAGAACCGGCCCATCGCGTATACATTCGCGACGCCTTCTTGGTGGGGTGCAGTCGCATTTGTGTTAGCATCTGCATCATCGACGAGATTGCGCCGATCTGGCGCGATGCGAATCGTGAGTGTAGTCGTAATCGTAGTCGTGGTCGTAGTCGCAAGCCTAGTCGCAAGCCTAGTCGTGGTCGTCGTCGCTGTTGCGCGGCAGGTGCCGCGGAGAAGCTTTTGTTCCCGTGGTTCGTGGGACCCCAGTTCGTGAGTAAGGCGGTCGAACTGATCATGTCGGAGGTGGATAGACCTCTTACCCTGACACGTCGATTAAGGAATTGGCAGTTTTCGGTTTGCGAGAGGGCGTCGCGGCCGTCATTTTTGCGGGTCCAGGTCCGTCGGTTTCGGTCCCAGGCCGCTTTCACTAAGGGGAGGTTTATTAAAGGGAGGTTTCTCCACCGCCGATCCTGATTTTCCACTGTTGGGGAGAGGGTCCAAAGACCCATCTCGGTGAGTGTGCGTCGAGCAGCGTCGATCCGCCAGAGCCGACAAGACGGTAGGGGCGGCCCCCGGGAGTTGGCCGCAGAGAAGGCCTTCCGCGCCTTTCTGCGCCGTGGAGGGCGGCAGCGGTGCGCGGGAAGGGCGGCCCACTCGCCCGCGAGGCCGTGGTATGGGGCCGGTCTCCCAGTGGGGCGCCGCGGGGGAGAGGGGAGGGCCCCGGTGCTCCTCCAGGGGACCCCGGAACGGCGTGGTGAGGCCCGCAGCGCGTGGAAAGCCTAGGGTCGGCGGCGAGCGAGGGGGGAAGCGAGAAGGAGAAGGCCTTCTCGGAAGGTGGCGGGACTTCTCAGAAGCCCTCGGGCCTTCTGAGAAGGCTTCTCCTTCTCACTTCCCCCCTGGGCTCGCAGCCAATATGGGATACGCCTGCAGGGACAGTTGAAAGGATGTCCGGGAAGCATGCAAGCTCGAGAGAGGGGCTCCGGAGACAAGTTTTTTCCAAAGGAGCTTCGCAGAAGCCCCCTAGGGAGGTTTGAGGGAACTGCGGAAAGGCTTCCCGAAGACGTATTGGAAACGAGTCTGAAAACGTTTTCGGGACACCTTGAGGTTAGTGGTGACACCGCGTGGTTCCGGCCGCCCCAGACGACCCAAGAGGCCCCCAATGCAGCGCCAAGACAGCCCATGAGGCCCCCAAAGAGGGCCCCAACTCGGTTAAGGTGGACCCCAGGATCGCCCACAGAGCCTCGGGGCCTCTCAAACGTGTGGTGACCACACCGCGTGGTGAGTCAGAGGGACGCCAGGGTCACCGCACGGTTTTGGGACTCGGGCCGTTTTCCGAGGGCGTCTCGGGCGGCAGTTGCCTCCGACGTCCCAAGGCCGTGCGGTGACGGACCGCGCGGCGAGGTCTCTTGGGAAATCAAGGTTCCCGCGCGGCCTGTCACCACATGGTTTTGCCAAGGGAGGAGAACTACCCCGACCCCGATAACTGGAGTTTGTCAAACCGCCGTGGGAATTTGCGAAATAGCCCTGCCCTGCTCGATTTCTTCCTTGGGTGGATTTACGACACGGCTTCGCTTGTCGAGGTCTTATTCTGGGGGTGTATTTTCTACTCCCTATTCTGGAACTACAGAGAGGTCT